AAAGAAGGAAGGAAGGAAGGAAGGAAGGAAGGAAGGAAGGAAGGAAGGAAGGAAGGAAGGAAGGAAGGAAAAAGTTGGAGGCCATCTGCGCCCTAGTCTTAAAATGGTTAAGATTTCTCATAACCTATGTGCTGTTCTCCTCTGTGGTTTGACATTTGGACAGGCCATTAAAAACAAGGACAAGGAAGTATGCAAGTCCAAAAGCAAAATGTAAATTGTTCTTAAAAATGCTTGGCTTAGCAGGACATGAAGTTGTCCCATCGGCAAACTGGAGTAGCAGAATAAAATGGATAGTTTCGGCACTCAATGGGTAGTGGGTGTGCTCTAAAACCGGATTGACTCCATGTCTTAGTCTGCCTGTCTTTAATAAATCAGTTAAGTTTTGCATCATGGTGTTAGTGTTCCAAAAGGTTATTTACCACCAAAAAAAAGTAATATATAATGCATAAACACAAAATGCAGCAGGTACCGGGCTAGCCAGGGGAAAATGAAAGCCTTTTACAGCAATTACCTTAGCAACTCTTTTCAGTTTAGGTACAATAAGAGCGGGCATGGGCATCTCATCCTTAACAGTGCAGCACAAAAAATTCAACACCCTAAGAGCAGCTATAAATAAAAACAAAGCCAGGATTAAAAAATCCATCTCCCATTAAAAAAAAGTCCCTAACCTCTTTGTCTGAGGTGGTGCTACAGAACAGAAGGGGGTTGGACCTAGTGTTCCTCCAACAGGGGGGGAGGGGGGGGCTATGTGCAGCCCTAAAAGAGGAGTGCTGCTTCTACGCCAACCACACTGGAATAGTTTAAAAATCCATGGCTAAAGTCAGAAAAGGACTGGCAAAGAGAAAACAAAAACACGCGCAGAAAAAAGAATAGTTTAAGTCTTGGTTTAACAACTCCCTTTGGTTAACTACTTTGCTCTCCACATTATTGGGGCCCCTAATTGTGCTCCTGCTCATTCTTACTTCAGACCATGCATTTTAAATAAATTAGTTACCTTTGTAAAAGAGCAAGTCAATACTGTACAACTAATGGTGCTGCAGTATCAGGGGCTCGGCTATGAATGCAGTCTAAAAATAAGGGAAATGCACAACCCTATTCACGAGCAAGAATGCTCATAGGTGCAAGAAAAAAGGGGAGACTGTAAGGCAGCGGTGACTCCATGACAGGCCAAGCCTCTTAAGGCAGGCCCAAGTTTCTCTAACAGCCTTGAGTTTCGTTTCTCTAACAAAGTCATCCTCTCCCCCAAAATGACGCTGACCACACCTGGAAAGGCCCGAGTGATCACAATGATGCTGACCACACCGGAAAAGTCGTGAGTGACCACAATTGGAACGACTGAGAGTGGAGCCAGTCAACCAAAATGACTTACACAACCAATTGTCTCCAGATGAAGTCACTGAACTATGGGAGGGTGAGGAGAAATAGTTTCACCCTGTTTATGTAACCTGTAAAGAGTATAAAGACTTGCCTGTGCCCCAGGCTGGGATCCTTGTCTTTGGTGAC